AAACTGCAAGTTCAACCGGGTGTTTATGTAAAGATGTTCCTTTTCATGTGTTAAGATCAATTGATCAGTGATAAATTTATTTCTTGGACTTTCACAAGTTACATAAATAAACTTCTCCTGAATTGCCAAGTCTTTAGTTTTGTATAATTTGTTTTATTCTACCTCAATGTAAGTGAGTAGAAAAAATAACACAAGTTTTAATTTGTAAAATACATTAACACACACACATCTATATATAAAACTAATGTTTTCAAATAAATACTTAAATGTCAGTTATTTTTCTTCAAACATAAAGCAGTAAATTAAAAATATCTGGAAAACAATGATCTCTACTACTTACAATGCTACAAAGTCCTTGTTTGCACTCATTAGCCATATTTGCTAAGCCTCATCCAAATTCACACGTGGAGATGGAAAAATAACTTTGTAGACTTTTTATAAGCATTTTGGAAAAAAAAATTATCAATTACTATTCCAATACCCTAAAAATCCGCTGTAATTTATCAGGCCTCCTAACTAAATTGTATTTGGGTCTAGAAAAATATAATTTCTATTCACAAAATAGCCTTGATAGCAATACTTCAAACTTTCCAATGATATAAGAGCATTTCTCTCATAAATAACTTAGAAAAACTGACAGAATTATGTAGAACAAATATATAGCTCTTGATTGATTATAAAGCTATTGGTATATAAAAGTAGACATAGATAAACAAGTCTTCTCAAGTGATGATGTGGTGGGTGGAGCCAATAGGTGGGTTTCCTTAATAACATGGTATCTCAACAAATAGAAATGATAGGAGGTTTTTACTTTATATTCTAGTTTGCCAATATTGAACCTTTGAATTTATAATTCGTACAGAACTAAAGACATTGTATTGTGGGCATCATAAAATGTAATCTGACCAAACCCAGAAGGCCACATACCATTTAACACACAAAAATCGATATTTAACTTCTTTTTTAAATATTTAGTTTCAAATTAAGAAACTAACTAATACATAATACTAAAATTTGAATTATAATCTACAATTTGATACCAAACTTATTGACATATGTTTATAAAATAATAGCTAAATAAAATGTTGAATGTAAATCTAGAAACATGATGACATGCCCCTGACCCCTACCCGTCTCAATAGGGTTAATAACAACCTTTAGCTTTTCCATCCAACCACCCTACAATACAATTAATTAAGTCTTTCCACAACTGCTACTGATGTGATTTTCTTAGCTAATTTTGTTTCTTGCGCATTATCAAAATACATCAAGTTAACATAACCTCTATTGTACAGATAACAGAAAACATCCTTGAAAAAAAGATAACAGATTAGTAAGACAAGATTTCCCTTTGGTGAAACCATGTTTGTTTTCCTTTATATCATGTTTCTCTAAATGGTTTTGTAAAGTTTCTTTTATCAGACTCTCTAGAATTTTTCCCACTACAGAGTAACATTAATGATCCTATAATTTCCAGGGTAATTTTTATCACCCCTTTAAAAACAAAGTAATATTAGCAACTGGCCAAACCTCAGATAAATACCCACTGTCTACTAATCTGTCAAAAATGATAAAGAGTAGCTCACACATCTTTAACCTCCTTCAAAACCTAAAGAAAAACATTATCTGGTCCTGGTACTTTATTTTTAATTACTCAATTTTCTACTCACCACCAACAGTTTAATTATCTCCCATAGAATGTTCAAGGTTAAAAATATTCCAGATAGTTTCTCTTGCAAAAACAGAAAAGAACATTTAAAACTCAGCTCTTTCAGTCTTAAAGAAAAACCTTGCTGTCAACGTTCTTTAAGGGCCCAATCTCTATTTAACATGTTGTTTATCTTTAACATACTTTAAATTCCTTGCTGTTAATTTTCACATTAATAAGACAATTGTTTTCCATAAGCTCTTTTGGATTTCTTAATTTCTCTCTTAGCCAAATCCCTAATTTCCTATAGTCCAGTAAATCTTTCAACCAGCTAATTTAAACATCATAAACTTATAGGCTTTATCCCTGATTTTCTCAATTATGCCTTTAATTTTGATCTTCCCTGTTATCCTTTTCTTTAGGCATATGCCCATGTGGATTTAAAAGCAATTTATTTTTATAAATTTCTCAAATCTGTCCAACGTCTTTCAAGTTACTATTCCAATTCACTTACGATTAATCGACTCACAGGGCTACAAAAGTGCCTTTCTAAAAATTAGGTTCAAAAATGTCATTTCTTTTTTACTTCAGCCTGTAGTAAAACAATAAACTTAATTATGCAATGATCATTCTTCCATATATGTTCCACCACTTGAACTCTTGCAACCATATCATCATTAGTGATTATGTCTGAAACATTGTTACATCACAGAATGTGAAATTCATACAAATTTAACCATAAAATTTTCCAAGAAATATTGTAGTAATTCTGTGGTGTTCAGTTGGAAAAAAAAGAGACATGAAAATATAACCAAAAACCTTCCCTTTTATAAAGCACATATAAATACATGTGCCTATAGTTACTTAAATATGCATGAAATGGCTTATCATTTTGTGAATCTATAAAAAAAAAATATCTTTACAAAATATGTGAATAATTAACAGGATTTAGATATCCGAAAAAAGCAATGTATTTTTCATTTACATAAGGTAAGCTTCATTTACAATATATTTTAGTGGATGAAACACTTACCATTCCTGTTAAAAGATTTGTTGGCAAACAAGGTAGGCTTTGTGAGGATTCAAAATCAGCAAAATCTTCATTATTTTTACCATGCTGTATCACTGAATTTTTATCATTCAAAATAGGACTTGAAATGTCCGAGCTCACAAAATCTGCAAAGTTACTATCCGAGTTCTCTGGCAGTACTTCACTGGTTACTTCCACTCTTTCACTAAATGAAGCATTTTCAAAGTCTGCAAAACCTTCAGGTTCTGCTAGTTTTTGTTTAGCACTTTCAAAATTACCAAAATCATCACTCTCCGAGTCATTTCCTTCTCCAACAGATGATTCTTCTTGCATAATTTGTTGTACACTTTGAAATTCATCATATAAATATTTATCATTTGAAAATTTCATTGCTGGAAATTCATTTATAATTATAGTACTAGGAATTTCAACACTGTTTTCAAAGCATTCTGTACCTTTCTCACCAAATGACTGGACTGAATCACTTTTACTACAAAGTTTTTCTTCTCTGTTCAAGTTTGATATCTCCATCCTTTGTAGGCTTTCAATGTTCATTTCATTAACCCCTGTGTCTAAAGCACATATTCCATCAGGTAGATCTGATATTCCTTCAAAGGCTTTTGAACTTATATTTTTGTTCAAGACTAAAGAATATGACTTTGTTTCCTCATGATCTATATAACTGTTAGGAGTGGAGCCTACTTCATCATGAATTATGTCTTTATTGGCAGTAGCCATTGTAAAACTTCCAAAATCAAAATCATCAACCTCTGGAAGGTCCAATTCTGGTATATCATCTTTTTCAACATCTTCCTGCCCATTTGTAATTCCTTTGTGGAGGTTTTCCCCAACAAAACAGGATTCATTGGAAATGATATTTTGTGTGTTCCATGTATAAGCAGAACAGCTAATAAACTTAGAGTTAGTAGAAGTGGATAAAGAGCATTGAATATCAGATTTATCCTCTTCTGGAACATGTGTAGATTCTTGTATTGGTTTTGTACAACACTGTATTTCTGGTGAATGGCCTGTTGATCCATCAGAGTTAAAAAATTCATCTTCATCATCAGATATGTTTAGTGGAGGTACACTGGATGAAGATGTAGCTGAGGAACTTTGTTCAATCTTGCACGCCTCTGAATCTCCATTATTTTCTTTCTGATCATTGTGGAAAGTAGTTGATATCTTGTCACTACTAGAATTTAAAGAAGGTACCCTTTCACCATGTTCTGATCTCAGTGTTACCAGAGCTTCTGAAGAATGACTAGAAGTGATTTGATCACTATTTAACACTAACTTTTCACTAGAAATACTGTCCGTTTTAAAGCATATTGTTGATACAAATTTGACATCTGAAATCGGTTCTTCCTCAAAAGAACTATTCATATCATGATTCATTGCACTTTCAAATTCTGAAACACCTGTCAGTAACTTACATCCATTATCCACATGTTTTTCTAATTCATCACTTTGTGAAAATAATTGATTCTTATGATGTTCATTAACTTCTGATACAAGATCTGATTTATGATGAGTTTCTGACTGTACTTGATTACAAGGATCAATATTTTGGTCAATAACACCATTCAAAGGTTTTGGTTGTTCAGGTGTAGAAAAACATGAAAAATCTGCAAACTGTTGTTCATCTTCATTATAATTCCCTACTGTTGAAACACTATTATTTTCACTTCCAACTTCATGTGCTTCTGGTTTTCCTGGTTGATTTGCATGGTTATCTTGAAAACATGTCAAGTTTGACATAACATTATTAGAAGATGCATCACAGTTGGTTTCATTTGCTGCTGTGAAGTCTCCAAACTCATCATCATCATTTTCAACAAATGTTCCCTCATTAAGAGGAGGAGGACTTGAAGATAAAATTGGTATAAGGTTGGATGACATGGTCATTAATCAGGATAGTCCTGATTAAGTTTCAGATACTCCTATCATTCTTTTACTGAAGATTTTAACCTAGTGAAAAACAAAATGAATTCATTCTTTACTATGAAAGTTTACATTAATGTGTTGAAAAAAAAAGTACCATGATATATACATACATACATAATCAATGCTTAGACCATATACACCCCTAGTGCTTCATAACCTGATCATAAATGCTTATACATGCACTTATTGTACAGGATATATATGATGGCAATATATTGTACAAGTATGCTTTATCTTCAGCATTAGATATAATTTTCAAAAACATTATAAGCACTTAAACAATGATTTTACAGAAACTGGAGTGTTTAAATTTGCATATAAATACCACACAACAATTATTATCATTATGTCACTGAATTAACTGACTTTCAACAGGAATTGGTAAATATGCCTCTCACTAAGACTTAGTGTTTCAACACTGAGTAGAAAATTGTTACACCTTTCTCACTTATGCAAGTATCACTTCTAAAAGTTCCAATATCCACAATAACCATTTTTTCAATTGTTTTTAGTATACACATAAACATGTTTATTTTTTATTTACCCCCAGTCTCTCAGTTCAGTTTACTTAATGTCATGTTTACCCATAATGGTGTCTTGAAGAAGTCACGCTTCTTAACCTAGTAACTGGTAAATTAATAAACACATCATACTTGGCCAGTCTCCTAGCTTTAGTATAACATATTCTAAGAAATCAAACAACGTATAAGATGTATCTTACACAGTTTTAACTGAAAACAAAGGTTAAGACCTCACAAAGTATCCAAAAATAAAACTCTAATAAGTGAATCAAAATACAATTAATATAAAAATACAAGTTACTTAAAAGGACTAACTCAACATTACCATTTAATGTTTGATGTCCCATCATTTGATCAGGCTGAGTTAATCTATTACATAGTTGTATACTTTTTTGTCTCTGTTACTTTTGTACAGGATGGAAGAAACAAAAGGTACATGACTAGTTTAAATGTAAAAATTACAGTTGCAATTAGAAAGTGTCAATAGAAAATGCCACTGACTGATTTGGAATTAACATGTATCACACAATGCAGTTTACACAAATAACTAAACATAATGGTTAACATAATATAATGATTAACATTGAAAATGCACTCCTAATATAGCCTTCAAAGAAAGTTTATTTGTTTTAATATTTTTTTAGTTCTTTATTGTAATGAATTTTGTTTTTGTAGTAAATTTTAAGTCAGCATATATAATTTATTTAGTCTGAGTTTCGGCATTTAAAAAAAGAAAACTTACATTATAGTATGGGTTCATTGAACATAATACTAATAAACATAATCACATTAATCTTTATATTGATATATAAAACAAAAATTAAAAAAGTGTTAACCACTGAGGAAAAAGTAAAATGTAATATTTGTGTTACTGAGATATATTTCTGTTAACTAGATTTCTTAAATTATATGTATCTGTAACAAAAACATTTTTATGAATGTCTTTTATATACATTTTCTCTTATTGATAAGCTAATGGATTTGTAAATGTCATTATAAAGATACTATATATGTGTGTGTGTGTGTGTGTGTGTGTGTATATAATGTGTATCTAGTTTTAAGAAATATTGATGTACCAGAACATCTAGTAATATTCTAATTATGCAAAGATTTTCTTCTGTTGGAATTATTTAGCATTAACAAAATGTTATACTAATCACACACACACACAGCATTTATATCACCTGATCATTATACATTTATTTTATTCCTTTATGGTGGCACTGTCATAGAATCTGGTAAAATAATAATTAATATTATATAACAAAGTAATATATTTCTAAGCATTTGAATTAAAATATCTGGAGTCACCTGATTAGACAGAAGAAGGAAGTATATATTATGGAGGATTTCTGCAACAGCTCTTGACCAGGTAAGCATCAATAATTTAGAAAAGCAGTTCTTGAACCTACTCTAACCAGTAACTTAAAATACATCTATGCCTCTAGTTCTATTATTTTTTTCATTAATTTATTTCTTACATAATCACTATCAAAATGGACAAGAAAGATCCAAGGCTTACTCTGAATATCTTAGTGATATTGTATAATACTAATAAAGCCCAAGTAGTAATACTACTATTCTAGTATAAAACTAAGCCTTAGGCTTCATTAATAGTAATATTAATACTACTAATAGGATATAATACACAATACACAGAATACAAAATTAGAAGTTCTAATAGTGACAGAATCTTGGCCGCCAACTTAAAACTTGAAAATGAAATAGACAACAAAAATTAAAAAGAATATTTTCATGATACTGATTTTAACTTTACCATTTCTTAAGTTAGACTTAGAGTGAGTTAGACGCCGACATAAAATTAAAAGTAAAACTTAAAAGTAATAATTAACACAAGTCAATGTCACATAAGTTATTATTTCACAAATTCTTAACTCTTCCTTTATCTTTGTACACATCATACTACTACTACTCATTGGCAATTACTTTAAAATTACGTTTACTTTACGTTTGTTCTCTTAGCTTCTCACGGTAGGCCTAATAGCAGAAATATTAGTACTAATAGCAATAGTAACACTACCACAGCTGCAATATGCAGTACCAATATTATATATGTACTATGTTTCAAGTTTTTGACGTGCATAAAATCAAGTATTCCTTTTTAAATCATTACATAACAAATAAAAATTACATTAGACACAATAATACGAAACTTTGATGTTAGTTAAAAATTAACTTTGCCTTACACTTTAGTCTTTACGCTACTCCATCTAACGAATATTTTAGGTTTGATATCGTACATAGCACAATGATTACCAATAGATGGAGCTAGCCAAATTTGTCGAATAACTGCATTAACATTTATTTGATTTTCTTTACCATGAATCAATTTATTTGAAAAAGATCTGCCAATATTCAAACACGATTTAAAATCTGAAGCAGTCTTATGCTATTTATCAGGATGTTTCAAATTCGTACGCTCTTGTTTGTTTTAGCTTAACGCTGCACATTGGACTATCTCTGCTCTGTTCACTGCGAAGAATCGAACAACAGATTTTAGCGTTGAAGTTTGTAAACTTATCGGTGACACATTGGAGTACATTCTTGCAGGAGACTTCCTCCTTTGAAGATTGAAAACAATAGGAAGTTAATGAAATTAAGAACATCTCACAGTGGGAACCTCTTTTGATTGAACTAAGTGTAATTTGTCTGAGTTCTCTAAAACAAACACAGACATAAATATTGTTATGACAGCGGAGGTCACGTGACCCTAGTAACACGCCACGCGCTTCTAGAACGTTCATGAAGCGTCGGGAGACTACTAGATATGGAGTAGTCTTGTATATATATATATATATAAGACCGGCCAAGAACTGACGGGAACAATGTGTAATTGAACTGCGGACATAGTATTGTTGAGTTGAGCACGTGAGACGTTCGTTGTGAATTAAAGCATTTGTTATAGCGCGACTGTGGAAATTAATTGTATTCAGAAAGAATAAACTAGTTTTATTTAAGAAAGGACTTGTGTCGCTAAAGTTTCGTCGGAACGAAATTTACGGAAAATGAACTAACGAACGGAGATGTAACAAATTAGTGCCAGAGTGTGGGACAGAAATAAAAAAAAAGAGAAGAAGATTGAAACCAGAGACGGAAAATCAAACTACAGCTTAGCAGATTTGATGGCAGCAATACAAGAACAGCAAAAGAAACAAGAAGAACGAGAAAATAAACAAGAAAAGAAACAAGAAGAGAGACAACAGCAGTTGCAAGAAAACCTGCAACAGTGGCAGCTCGAACAACAAAATAAACAAGAAGAGAGATTATAACAGTTTCTTGCCAGCATTCTTTCAAGATGTTGAAGGAAAAATTGGCCTCCGCTCCACTTTTAAAGCTTCCAGATCCCTCACTGCCGTACATACTGGATTGTGATGCTAATAATGTTGGAATTGGAGGAGTGTCGTCTCAGAAAGTGGGCGAAAACGAACATGTGGTGGCCTACTTCAGTAGGGTTTTAAGTAGACCAGAGAGGAACTACTGTGTAACACTGAGGGAACTCCTTGCTATAGTAAAGAGTCTGACATATTTCCATCCTTACCTCTATGGGGCTAGGTTTACCATCAGGACAGACCAGAGGGACAACTGGCACATTGTATTGGAAAGATAGACCTGTATAATTATGATATTGAATACAGAGAGGGAAAATCTCATGGTAATGCCGATGGACTGAGTCGAAGACCCTGCAAAAATGACTGCAGACATTGCTGCAAAAGAGAGGTTGAACTAACCAGGTGCCATCAAGCTGAAGTCAAGCCGACTGAAGGAGTTGATGATGATGAAGTGGAACCAAATATAGGTATCAAAGCAGAACAGGAGAAATACCAAGATTTGAAGCCAATAATTGATTTTCTAAAAGCAAGTGTTTTGCGCCCTGCTTGGGAGAAGGTGTCTAGTCTAAGCCCTGTGACAAAGAACTATTGGGCACAATGGAACCAGTTGAAGCTTGAAGATGATATTCTTTTCCGAAGATGGGAAACTGCAAATGGGAAAGTGACGACCTGGCAAACGGTTATACCTAGAAAGTTACGGGAAGTTGTGCTGCGTCAATCCCATGATACTTTAACAGGAGGACATCTCGGAATTAAGAAGACATTGAGTCACCTATGACAAAGATTTTACTGGATAGGTATGAGGCAAGATGTGATAAAATGGTGCAGGACATGCAGTACATGTTGTGCTAAAAGGGGACCCAAGCATAAGGGACGTGCTCCAATGAAGTTATATCAAGTTGGTGCACCAATGGAAAGAGTAGCCGTCGACATTGCTGGCCCTCTGCCCCAAACTCGTGCTGGAAACAAGTACATTTGTGTGGTGATGGATTATTTCACCAAGTGGCCGGAGGCATATGCAATACCAAATCAGGAAGCTACAACTGTAGTTTCGGCTATTAGTGACTTCTTCTTCAGATTTGGTATGCCATATGAACTGCATTTAGATCAAGGCTGTAACTTTGAATCAGCTGTGTTCCAAGAATGCTGCAAGTTGTTGGCATACGAAAAACCAGGACAACGCCACTTCACCCACAGTACTGATGGGATGATAGAAAAGTACAACAGGACACT